TCGGCTGTTAACCGAAAGGTTGGTGGTTCGATCCCACCCAGGGACGTAAGCAAATATTTTTCGGCGTGAGTTTTGTGGGGTTTTTTTTCTTGTGTGGGACAAGCAAGTTGCGACGCGGTCACTTAGGGTGCTCCAGGCGGAAAAACGAAGAGGTATTCTCGGGACAAATAAGGAATAAAAAAAAGAAAACTTTTTGTTGGTGTGCTATGCCATGAAATTTTTCTCCCCCATCCCTTCCAAAAAAAGCTGCTGCATTGGCCGGGAATCGAACCCGGGCCTCCCGCGTGGCAGGCGAGAATTCTACCACTGAACCACCAATGCCCACACTAAACCCTGCTTGAGAGACCGAAAAATAAGGAGATTAACCCCAAAACAACGCCATAACGCGCATAAAATCTTCATGTCTCCGAGGAGTGACCCTGTGCTAATCGGGATGCCGCACTAATTAAGACGAGTGGCAATTAGAAGGGGGAAGAGCCGTTTCTAGTTGGCTGCGCGCTCTCACGAGTGCGCGGCGGAAGATTTGAATTTCGCGCGCCCGGTGCTGATTGACCGCCACATGCGAGGGGGCGGGGCCGAGAAGGGAAGCCTGGGGCCGGCCCGGGTTGTGCCGCCGTGGCCACGCCGGGAGAGGTCCCGTTCCGAGGGGAGAGGGGAGCCAAGCGGCTCCGGTACCGCCTTCCTCCGCGGGGAATGTGGCTGCCCCAGAGCCCGGTCCCCCAAGAATGGGGTCCCCCAAGTGCCGGTTTTGCTTTCTCCCGGCGCGTAACCGAGCTCGCACACCGACCAGCGCGCCTTCCTCCTCCACACCCCCACCCCGGTCCATGCTGTGCTCGGCGGGATCGCAACGGCGTGATCTGATTGGCTGAAATCCTCTGTGCTGAGCTAACCATTAACGTCCAATGAAAACTTGCGTTCTGGAGCCGCGATATTTGCATGCGCGGGGTCTCTCCGCACGGAGCGCTGCGCTCTCTCTCAGCCAATGGGAGTGCGCGGCGTTTGAATCCTTTATTTGCATAACATCGCTATAAAAGCAGCGCCGCCCGCTCACCTTTTGCACACCCGTGCGAGTGCTTGCGGTGACTGGCGTGAGCAGAGCGAGATCGCCATGCCCGAACCGGCCAAGTCAGCGCCTGCCCCCAAGAAGGGCTCTAAGAAGGCGGTGACAAAGACGCAGAAGAAGGGTGACAAGAAGCGGCGGCGCAGCCGCAAGGAGAGCTACTCCATCTATGTCTACAAGGTGTTGAAGCAGGTGCACCCCGACACTGGTATCTCCTCCAAGGCTATGGGCATCATGAACTCTTTCGTCAACGATATTTTCGAGCGCATCGCAGGTGAGGCGTCGCGCTTAGCCCACTACAACAAGCGTTCCACCATCACCTCGCGAGAGATTCAGACCGCCGTGCGGCTCCTGTTACCTGGCGAGCTGGCCAAGCACGCCGTCTCCGAGGGTACCAAGGCTGTCACTAAGTATACCAGCTCCAAATAAAGCGTCCGGACCCGGCTGCGGGAACCCGCTGGGCTCAACCCAACGGCTCTTTTCAGAGCCACCCACCTTAACAAAGAGCTGATATTGCTGCTGAAATATCTTTTTTGGGTCTTTTTGTGGATCGTAACGGTTTGTATACCGTGCAGGAGGCGGCTGGGGTAGCTACTAGCAGTTTTAAAAGCTTTCATTAAAATAGATTTTTTTTTATTTAATTAACAAAACGCGGCTTCTGGGTTGTTTTCCTTCTAGCCAGGGTGCTCGCAGCCATCCCCGGTCGGGGTGACTCGTTCGGGGTGACTCGTTCGTAATGCCGCTTTCGCCTTCAAACC